TTCTCCCGTTGTTCGAATCATAGGATTTTGCGTGACACTTTCGTTCGTTGCCATGACTCCCATTGGTTTCGTCTATGCCTCGTGCCTTCGTGAATCGTTTTAGAAGACCTAGAGCTAGTTTATGCTGCAGCACCGAAGGCTGGTGTCGACATCGACCTAGAAACGAACGGGTTGACAGAAGAACGGACATGGATCCCACACAGAGAGCCGACCGAGCGGAAGGATTGCCGATGCCCTTCCCGCGGACAAAGGCCATTGTTGGCCCGCTGTCCGGCGGCTCGGCTTGTGGGATTCTCGCGTCGATCGAGTCGTTCGGGCAGTCACGCGCTGCCACCGCCGAAGCGATGAGTSCGTGCGATGCATGCGCGAGATTCATCCGTTTGGTTGGCTCATTCCCCACTCACGAGGTGCGTGGAATCCCTCGGATCCCACTCGTTTGAGGACCTGACGTCTTGCGAATTTTCAAAGCCCTCCGCCAGGCCAAAGGTGAACACCAGACCGACCCGGGGAGCAGACCCCGTTGTGGGCGCGGCCCGGTGGAAACTCTTGGCCCCGTTGAAGAACAGGAGGCTCCCCGGTTGGATGGGGATTCGCTTCACCAGCGGATCGTCGGCTCCCGGTGTCCCCAAAGGATTGGGGAGAGTGGTCTCCATCACCAGCCTCCGAACAATCTCGTGGCCCGCGGGATCGTCCTTGCTGGTGGTTGGGCGGCACCAGGGAACGTACTCGAAGTCCCCCCCACCCTCGGGGTTTTGCAAGTAGAGTATGGCCGTATAGGGACTTTCGTCGAAATGCCAGGGGGGATTGTGCTCGGAATGGATCCGATAGCAATAGACGGACCCGTTCTCGTCCTCGGATTGGTAGAGCCTTTCGTCCGCCACACGGGACAAAAACCGAAGGAGCCGGTTCGCCCCAAAACCCACATCCCCGCGGCCTTCCTCCTTCGTTTCGTTGTACACCGAAATGCACAACCCGTCGGTCGTGGCTTCTTCGAGCGTCTTGCGCCCCACAAACGCCGCGGAAGAATGCGTCCTAAAGTTGCGTGGATGCGATTCTGGGTACTTGACAGGGTCCCCCTGRTCCTGCCAGGGCGTGTAGTGCTGTTTGCTCTCGTTGTAGGGGGCCGAGAGAACCTCCGACCGGAGTTTCTCCAGACCCTCCGGGGTGGCGAGATTCTTCACCACAGCGGCGCCGTGTTCCCGGAGGGAGGTGCGGCAGTCCTCGAGGACGTCCGGGTCTTCGAGCAAGGACCAGTTGAGCAGAGTTGACTTCCCGAGCACCGAATCGCTGCTGCATTTCTCGTTGTCGTCACCATGCCACACGTAGTCCTCGTTCGGGTGAGACATGGCTTGTGTGAATTATTAATCCTCGAAACGAGGGATGACTAGAGTTGGGGAATGCTACCGGCACAACGGGCAGATATCACGTCGATCGTTTTTTCGTTTTCTACTCGGTTCAAAATCTTGATGAAGCGCAGTCGTATGTCTGTACCAGTTCTTGACGGTACGATCATGATATGCTCTTTGCTGAATGTATCATTTGTGATACAGTATCGTATTGAGGAAAGGTTTGAAGTCTTCTTTCAAATTGAAAAAAATGGCAGAAACCATCAGACTGCGCGATCGAATCGAACGCCATGGCACTGTTTTATTGTACACTGTATTCGAGAAAAGAGAAAAGAACTACTACTAGTACCTCGCACGTACAGTTCTTGGTAGCTAGTAGTCCTCGAACTCGTAACACGATATCAATGCCAAGATATTACTTTATGTATCATACCTATCATACATGACTATGTCATGAATGAAGTTTTTTACAAAATTTGATGCCAACACGAATAATTTGTACCAGGTCTCGACTAGGAAGACAATTGACAGAATTGATGTAAGGAGTGATAGKTGCAATGTCGCGCTTGGTCACTCGCGTGTAAAAATAGAAAACGATCCGGCGCGTCCTTTCAGATCGAGAAWTTTTTTTAAAAAATCAAAAACTCTTCACAATTAAAAAAACACCAATTTCTACTAATTTATGTGAGCGACCAGATTGGTTCCATCGCAGCAAATCGCAACCATCAGGACTAGGACTGCGAGAGAAGTTTGGTGAATCCATTCTCTCACTAAATCCTGAATATCGCCCTGCGTCGGAGGTTCTTTTTGGGAGTCATGGCATCCTCTACCTATTGCAACACCCGGCAGATCCGGCACCAACACAACGAGCAACATCAATTTTTACAGCAGCATCAACAATCCGCTTCTTCTTCCCACTGTCTTCCAAAAGCGAACGCAGCAGCCTCTCCAGTGATGTCAAGAAATACTTCGATAGTGGACGAAAACGCCATTGTCAACGATTACAGACCGCCGGGTATAATCTCGTCGCCTTATCACCCCCTCAATGACAACGAAAACAACAAGAAATGCGAGGCTGCTTCCACTTCAAACAAAAAAGTGCAATGGGTCTACAACCCCATCGACGGGAGTGTTCTGCACGACCACAATGGRAACCCACTGAGCGTGGATAGATTGCTCGCTACAAAACCCCTCAGGCACGAACTTTCGACCCGCCCCGGGCCGGGAAACAAAAAGCTGACCTACATTAGCGGGGACGACGTCAGCAGGACGCTGAACGACATCTTTGGCTTTGACGGCTGGGATCTGGACATCAAGGACGTATCGAAGGTGGACTCCGAAAGAGATCCTAAAACGGGGAAGCACACCATTGTGTACACGGCCCAGGTCCGATTGACCCACAGGGSGTCCGGGGCCTACAAGGAAGACTGCGGGGCAGGGGATTCGACCGATCGATCCTATGCCACGGCGACCGCTCACGCGCTGAAGGCAAGCATCACGGATGCGATGAAGCGGGCGGCTCGCCATTTCGGGGACAAGCTGGGAAACTGTGAGTRCAGARAGATTYTGTTGTTGTTTGTTTCGTTTCCTGGTGGGGTTCGTGCATTGGCATCGATTTGCTCTGTGTGTTTTACTTTATGTGATGGTGACGCTTGATCGTTCTGGATCCATGTCTCGTTGGCATCTAATTACGTTTGTATCTCAACCACACAAAACGCAAYWCATTGCAACAGCGCTCTATTCCGGGAACTTTAGCATCAACAAGGCTCCGGTCTCGCTGAAGGATGCACTCGACAAGTACGACATTCATAGATGCAACACCAAGTTTGGATTTCAGCGGTCCAACAAAAAGCCCAGTTCGTCAGTGGCCAACACAAAGGCAGTCGATGCTTCACATATACCCATGCCTCCTCCTCCGGCTCAACAGAATGTGCAGCAGCAGCAACAACAACAAAATATGCACCAAAGATATCCCCCTGCTTCGATTGTTTCAAACGAAAAATCTGGAGTTGGAAAGCAAGAAGAGAGCAGTCTTGCTCACCAACATCAACACCACAATGAGCGAAACTCGCACCGGCCTCAGAATTGCCACCATACCCATCCCAATGCTCCGAGTATTGCCGRGCCGTCCGATGGTCCTCCTCCTCAGCAACAGCAAAGGACGAGCATCAGTACTCTATCCTTTGGTGCTCCAGCAAACTCCAATTCCGAGACAAATATACYTGCCCAACAATACCAACTCCAAACGCASCGACAGCAACATCCACCCCAGAAAWCATTTCGAGCAAATACTAATGCTCCAAACGTTTCGGGGAYTTCGAACGGTCCTCGGCCGCCGCAGCAGAGCAGAAACCCCAATTTTCCGTCTTCYAACGGACCCGCACAACCAGAATCTCGTTTCACACCGGAATCGACGAATTCGGCAACCGCTTTGGATCGACCATCCTCRTCGTATGGGCGGCGCCCCGCCCTCGGATCCATTTCYTCTTCCACCACGAGTGCGGCAACAACAGGCCAATCTTTCGATACCAACAACAATCATARCGACAAGAACAGWAGTAACGACGTTCGCAGGGTGTCCTTGGGCAATCAACACCCGCAGCACATGCGCCAATCGATGCCAGCGCAAAACCACCATTCAAACGCGAGCATAACAAATAATGTTCCTGCGATTAGCCAAACACCATCGGCCTGTAGCGGTGGYGGCAACCATAACCACTACAATAAACCACRGCACAAACGGCCTCCTCTCGGGAACATAGTACCGAATCCCGAATTTGCCCCAAAGCGCCCAAAGCCACAGCACCACAATCCCTACCAACAACCCTACAACAGTGGAAGAAAATCCATCTAGAATGGGTAACAAAGTGTTGCATTGGCACCGCGTTCGTAATGCATCTGGAAGATGCCAAAGTTCCACTCCCAACCTTGGCTTCTTACACAGTGCTTCCCGCAAGTTCTGCCCGTTGATTTTGCATGACGAAGGCAGGCTCCCAAATGAAAAAATTAAATATGGGTTGATCTCTTAGCGTCTCCGAAAACGCTGTTGCCATTTCCTTTGTAGCACTCTTCATTTGTTAGACGAACTTATACGACCAAAAATGCTAACAATGGGTCTCAGAGAGCACTATGATTTTAMACGGATCCTAAACACAAAATTGGAGCGATTCAAACCATTTTTTGGAACTGAAAYCAACACCAAGATTTTCACCCAAATGCAAACGGGGTGCATTCGTTATGATGTAGTGCACTTCTCGAAGACTTCTGAAAATTACTTTTTGTKACATTCGTATTGCATTCGACGGAATAATGGTACCATATAGTGAAAGGAGTCTTGGTGAACAAAAATACTTATCAACGGATCGGAGAACTTCGTTCAGTTCAAGTTACCTCACGACAAATCAAGCAAATGTTAGTCGTATTTGAAATGTAATGTAGACCAATAGAGACGGCTCAATCAAACTGCTACGCATTCACGGCCAAACCGTTTGGAAAAATTTCGATTCGTAGAATTTCACGACGAGATATTGTAATGTTTATATTGGTTTCATAGTTTATTATGGTATTGGTATTGCGACAAAATGARAGATTCAAATTAATCCTTTTTGACAACATTGTCCATGTATGCGTTTTCTAGCTTGCTGTATTGTTGTTGAAGGGTTTCAACTGTGGCAGAGATCTTATCGGGAATTTCTTTGATGGCATCGACGTCGAAAGGCAAAGAGGGAGCGGCGGATTCTCCTCCTCCGATCTTCATGTTTTCCAATCGSGCATTTCCTTCGCTGCTTAGTTTGTATCGGAAGAAGGTGTCGGCGCTTTCTTCGTCACGTTCGTAGAAGAAACCAAARGCGTAGTAAGCGGCGACAAGAGCAGGGAGCTCAAAGTTAGGGTGGAAGAACATGGAGTTCTCGACGATGGGGTGTCCGGTGAGGGCTTCCCAGGCGGCAAACGCGGTGATTCCAAGCATGGCCGATCGTCCGTGGCTGATCTCGACCTCTCTCAGACCCTTGCGGGCATAAGCATCGTTTCCGATCGACGAGTAAAGTCCAAGGGGRTCGAAGTTGTAGTCCCCGGCAACTCCGTATTCTCCGTCCTTGCAATCGGCCAAATCGGCACGGTGCATTTTTCCAAAGGCGGTGTTGTCGTTTCTTCGGAGGGCGGTTTTGTATTCGAAAAATCCAAAGGCTCCGAAGGCAGCGAGAACAGCCACGGCGGAGACAGGGTTGAATCCGTTGAGGACACTGGGAGCGCATCCGTTTTGAAGCATCCACGAAGGAGCAAACAATTCGGAAAGAGGCCAGCCGACAACRGCGAGCATGGCAAGACGTGCGTGTCGGAGTTCGGCTTCTTGCATGGTGAACAAGTCGAATTCTTCGGTGAGTCCCAAAGGATCGAAACCGAAATCTCCGGCTTGGGTTCCGTCGAGCTTAGGAGGTCGCTTGAGRAAAGGAACRGCAACAGATCGGTCCGTCTCTGCGTTTCGGCCACTGGAATAAACAAGRTATACAGAAGTCAATGGGGTGAATTCTATGCAAAAGACTCAGAACGATGGATTCCTCGCGAMCGACAAAAAAGAGCGAAAGCACTAACCACACCACATTCGACATCCGAGACCAAACATTTCAACACAACTTACGGGACGATCTTGCTCTTGTCGATGGTCTTCAAAACGTAGTCGGCAGCGGTCACAGGGGCGGCAGGGGCGGCAACGGCAGCAGCGGTGGCGGCAGCCTTGAGTTCCGACGCGGTTTCTTCGACAACCTTGTCTTCAAATTCTTTCATGTCTGCTGCAGGGATAGGAGAAGCTAGAAAAGTTAGTGAGGGATGATGTAAGTTACAGAGAGAACGATACAAACTCGGTATCAATCGTACCTGGAGCAGCATCTTCAGTGGTGGTGGTCGGTGCGGCGGTTTCTTCTTTCATTTCCGACGAGTACAACCTGCTCATGGCGGAAGAACGAGCAGAGGGGGCCACGAAGGCGGAGGTTTGGGAGGCAGCAAGAGCCACGCTCATGACAACGGCAGAGAACTTCATTGTGAATTGGTTGTTGTGTATTGAATGCAGATAAACCGGTATTCCTTGTCGAAAGTTTAGATACCCAAATGTATTCTATTGTAGTTGTGTCTTTTCGKTGTGAAGAACTTCGTGGTGTTCGATGGATACAAAGCTGGGGCTCTCCTGTAGCCGCTGCAACACGAAGTTTGACCCCGAGCTTTCACGCTGGTGCGCACATACGCGATCTTCGATACTACGGAAGATGGGATGCTGATGGGTGAGAAGGGAACGCTTTTGGTTCGGGACTCGACAATACAGCGCACAACACGTAATCTGAGTCAGTTTCGTCCAATCGTCGCTCCCCAAAATTACTGCGCATACGTACTTTTTACTTCCACGAAACATAGGCGATCGTCGTCTTCAACTTGCTCTACCAAACAACCGCGCATGTGCTCAACGCGTGGAAGAAGAAACGAAAGATTTTTTTCGTTCTCGCGGGACTCAACCTTTCGTCTCTCAGGTTTTTTGGGGAAGTCACGTTTGTTCGACGAAGCGATCTAAGGAAACAGGAACCCATCTTCGCATCAATACCTGTCCACCGGTTGTCGTGCCTCTTGAAAGATTTGAGCCAGTCTATCGCTTCGCACCTCTATTCACGACGAGACGAAGACTTATTCCTTATCGGTCCCAAAACCCGATCGTTTGTAAAACGAGAGCCATCAGAAGAGTGTCAACATTCTTGGTCAGAGAAGAGAAACAAGTTGAAGTATTCTGGTCTCATTTCACGGCAWATGCAATCGAGAGGATTAATACAAACGACTACCGACTTGTCGACAAAGCCGAAGGCATCGAAACTTGTCCCGACACATTCTGCAAGCTTTTTGTGATGAACGGGAGAAAGTGAACGCAACATYTTTTTTGTCTCGGCCCGGAATGAGGTTACTACAGCTAATAAAAATATATCTGTTTTGAAATACTCCAAAACATTACGAGGAAGATAATGATGAGCAATGATGCATTATTACGCAACCGCACATAGAAATCTCGAAGTTTCAGAAGGGCAGAGRAGAGGAACGGATATCGTAGTTTTGTTCGTAACCTACCGGTACGTGATTTCTATGACCCCAAGGATTCTTTCATGYGAAGGGTGGAGCCTTGCCGGTACCTTTTACCGATTGGATTTCAATTGTGAGAGACGAAGTGCATCCAATTCCTAAAATCCCGCATCAGTCAGCAACAACGGCATTATGGTAGGCTTGGAAATTCGGGGTGAATGCGGCAAGAATCTGAGCATAAAGTGAGTCGAATCGATTACGCAAGCCCGCTCAGAGCGATGTGCAGCACGGCCTTCTTGATGACCGGAACGGACACSAGGCACGTGCACGCAGTGGCCGTCAGTGCCATCGAGATGGCAGCGAAGGGGAAGGCGTCCTTTTCGTCTACAAACGCGGCCGTTCCCAGCCCGTGGGCAGCGGCTCCGATACCCATGCCCCGTGCCACCGGGTTTTGGATTCCGGCCGCGGTCAGGCTCGCAGCACCAAAATTGGCCCCGAAGAGCCCCGTGACCACCACTAGCGCCACGGCGAGGCTCACCGTGGAGGCACCCGCACCMAGGAGACCCGCGATGGCCATAGCAAGAGGGCTCGTAATGTTTCTGGACAGGAGMGCCACCCGGAGGGAGGGTTGCGCCAATCCGATCATCCGGACCATCCAGGCTGTTCCGAACAAYCCTCCWAGAGAGGACACCGACACAGCCGTGGCAATCTGGGCGAAGTTGTCTCGGATCAGGTCCCGCTTGTCGTACATGGAAATAGCGAGGCTCATGACCGCTGGTCCCAGCAAGAACAAAAGAACATCGCCTGGACCCGTTCCGTACAGACCGTTGAATCCCTTTCCTACTTTGTATGAGGTTARCATGCTTCCAAAGGAACGATCAACGCACTTCGAAAATACCTTCATTACTGYCCACGTGAGTGTAGTACAGGTTACCAATGGGTGGACCACCTTTTTAATTTTGGGCTTCATTCKCGAGCCGTAGACAAAACCGGCTAAAGTACTCGATCCAAGCAGGAGAGACAGTATAGGGGTCTGTAGCTTGACTAACAACCTCGCTGGGGCCGAGCTAAATACGGGAGACGCTCCTTCTAGCGCCATAAGTCCACTGAAAATAGCCRCGATGCGCAGYCTCTTCATGAGATCGTCAGAAAAAGGTTTTGCCACGGGAACGGGGGCCTCGGGCATGCTCGATGCGAAATCCGACGCCGCATCCTCTTCACTTGCGGTGGTAGTCGCTGGGGGTTCTTCAGGAGTTTTGCTGRCATCGTTGCCGGTGGCTTGGTTGTCCCCCATCAATTTTCCAACCCCCAACACGGATCCCGCCGTCGTAAGCAGCGTAAAATAGAATCCCCCCAGGACTACAGCGAGTGTTTTCAAAAGCTATTATACATGCATTTGGTTTGTTTTTGTCATTCGATCGTCCGTGTACCATTCGGATCATTCCAAATGCGATGCGAACGTGGTTCGTAAATATTGTCAGCACAACAAGGAAGATGATCGGGTAGCAGAAACCAAAAGAACAAAAGCACAGCAATCCAATCCAATCCAATCCAATCCCACGGCATTTTCTGGGATGCATTTATGCTTGCCGTGCATGCCTACTTACCTCTCTGGGACCACCGAGACTATCAATGCCACCCACTAGCGGTAAGGTWACGAGYGAGGGGACAAAAAAGACGGGGAGCCACTTGGCCAGAAGCGCCGCACCAGGGCTCAGGAGGCGRTGGAGCCTTCCCTCCTTCGACGGCGAGGATGGCTTTGGGGAGAGCAAGAGCACTGACAGAACCACCCCACACCCTGCAAGTGATGAAGGAAACTTGGAAGCCAAGTTAAGCTTGACAAAGAGACGGCGAAAAGCAATGTCTGTCAGGCACCAGAGGCCGACGGACAAGACGGATTTTTGATCGGACGACAGTGACGACGAAAACGAGGAAGGTAAAGATGCCGTTGCTGCTTCGAGATTGTTGTTTCCTCTGTATGTGATTGAGCGCTGCAATTTTGCATCATTGGTTGATGCTTCGAAAGGTCGAGAGAAAGGCAGTTGGGTGGCAGAGWGTCTACTCAGCGAAGTCGTCGGGCCTGTAAGCGTCGGTGTCGAGTGCGAGGTTGGAATCACGAAGGCGTTTATGGATGTCGATACCGCGACGCAGCAGTAGGCAGCAACTGCTGCGATTCTTCTCGTCGAAGAGCCCTTCGCCATGGTACAGATTTGAATCTCGGGAGCGCAAAGAGGGTACCGGCAAGTTGTCGGTAGGTGAACTCGAGAGTAAAATGAAATGAGAAAACAAACTGAATCCCCTCGGTCAATTTTGTAATTTTTGCTGTACGTAYGAGTACGTACTGGTACTGGTTCTTGTACCGTACATAGTGTTCCGGGAGTTTTGAATTTTTGATGCACCTACCGGTACAGCGCCAAGGTGCTGGTGACGCCTCCTATGTTTTGACTGTGACATGTTGTATTTTAATGTTTTTACATACGTACGAGTACGAGTGCTCGTACTGTATACGCAAAATGCAACTAAAATTGCAGTATCATTATTGCCTCCATGCAACCAAAAAACACTACTGAATACTAGGCCTACCCCTTAAATACTGGTGTATGGCTACTCGGTACTACTCTTTTTTCCAACTGTATTGCTTTTTTGTGTGCAAAATACATAGGAAAAACAGTATTGAAGTTTTATCTACAACTCATACTCAGTAGCTTGTTAGTTGCATTCTCAACTGTTGAAAACAAGAAGCACGCAGTGCAATAATACAACGTGGTCGTGGTGGGCTGCACATGAAAACTTGAGCTTATTATTCCTTTAGTGGCAACAAGCAACAAGAAGCAACAAGCAACAAGCAAACAGTAAACAGTAAACAGTAACAAGATGACACCACCAGCACCAGCACAAGATGGATGCGGGGGAGGACGCAGATGTGGACAACCCGCAGAATGATTACTATGTGGAGGAGCACAGAGAATGCGGACACAGGAGACGAGAACCCCCCCCCATCCCCAACTTGTTCAGGGTTGCCCATGAAGCTTTGGAAGAAGCTGCGTGTGAGCAACAAGAAGCTGAGGAACTGGTGCAACAGCTTCAAGGAGCAACAGGAGAATGTGGAGGATGTGGGGAGACGTGGTCGTGGTGGACGCGGACGCGAGGAGGAATTGTCTCCGACAGCAGTCGCTGCTGGACGCATTGCTGCTGGACACATTGCTGCTGGACGCATTGCTGCTGGAAACATTGCTGCTGGATGCATTGCTGCTGGACACATTGCTGCTGGACGCATTGCTGCTGGATGCGTTGCTGCTGGACGCATTGCTGCTGGTGGACGTGTTGCTGCTGGTGGACGCTTTGCTGCTGGAGATGATCTCAAGGAAGCTGCTGCATTGGAAGAGCTCATAAGAGTATTGGATGCAGAAGAAGAGAAGGAAGAAGGAGATGATGTTTTTTTGCTGAGGATGGTGCTGCTGACGACGACGATGCTGATGGAAGTGAGAGTGTTAATAGCCAAGGAGCAACAACAACAAGGGCGCATCCTGGGCAAGCTCCTAAGCCATCACCAGGTGTTAATATTCAGAGCAATGGCTAAATTACCACAGGAGGTTCCTAAACTTCATGGATTTTGTACATGGA